GAACCGCGGAGGCTGCGAATTCCGATGGGAGGGAGGGGCTGTGAGGGGGACGAGGCCCCGGGGCGGGGAGGGGGCGGGGAGGCGGCGAGGCTCCGGGGCTCCCCGCCCACTGGAGGCGGCGACCCGGCAGGGAGGGGAACCCCCCGGTGGCTTCCCTCGGCACGTGGCCTTCGCCTGGGCCTGATCGGAGACCCCAGTCTGGTTGTCCTTACTTTACTGAAAGTTGTGGAGATGGTGGGATGTGATAATGAATAGTGAACAGAAAAGTCCAGCCCTTGGGTTTCAAATTCTTCCCTGCTTCTCTTTGGTCTTAATCTTTTCACTGGTCCCAGAGGAAGGTGTGACTGATAGGTGATGGATGATGAAGCAGGGCCTCCTCCACTCTAGGGTTTTAAAGAAGTACCACGTGTAAAGCGCTTACGTTAGCTGCTGTTAACAAGAGTCTTGTGTGGCTGAAGTACAAGCCAGAATTTGGATGGGTGTCTTGACCAGGGTTTTTATTTGGGGAGAATTGATCCTAATCAATCTAATCCTGAACAGTTCCAAGGTAGAAGTAAAGGATTTGGCCTGCAGTGTCTTTAATTCTAGGACTTCAGTTGCTTTCCTGCGAATTAGTTCCTTTGTTGGAGTTCCCACTATAAGATGCTTAACTGGCTATTCTGTTTTTAAGGTGACTGGAGTTATGGTGGAGGAGGTATTATGGGGTGCAGTGAGTCGTTAATATAAATGTATTGAGCCAAATTTGTAGCCTGCTGCCTTGTCAGTGTCCCCACTTTGCCCTCAAAAAGGAGGCAGTAAAGGGAGGCGGGGAAGGATGTCCTGTATGGGAAGGCTGGGTTTTCAGAGTAGGAGAAGGATGAACTGGGCACATGATGTCCTTAAGGAGCCCCTGTTGTATTCTTCACTGTGTGATTAGTTAGGTCTGTAAGGATTGCACTTTAAAAGCGCACAACTTACACTGCTTACCTGATCTCAGGAGAGCTGAGCTGGAAAATGAAATCTGTCATTTTTGAAAATAGATGGCATCAAAATACGTTGTCAGATTTAGGCTCTTTATTCTTGTCGGCTTTAATTAATACTACTACTACACTTATTTTACTTAGGAAGTAATACATACTGCCTTTGATTGGATAAGGGGAAAACCTTATATTTAAAATAACTTATTTAAAGCTGACTGGAGATAAGTGAAGTTTACAGTGATCTTCTGGGACTAAAGTCTCATGCTTGTTTGAAGTTGTCTGAGTTCAAATTAATGGCCCAAATCTAAAATGTGCCATTTACTTTTTAAGAAGACTGGTCCTTTCATACCAGTTTGAAATCTTTGAAAATTTTATCTGTTGCAAAGTACCCATTTTTGACACTGGACCCATTGACGGGAAATTATTAAGCTAATACTAAATGTGACACATGGTTGTTCTTGTTCTCTAGATACTAAAAAAAAAAGACAGAAAACCCAACACTTGTACCAGAACTAATTTAATCCACAGCGCTGTTGCTCATTTTCCTACTCAACTTGCTCATATTGCCTCCAGATGACTGATACTAAACACCCCCAGATATATTCAATATATTCAAGTTCTTTTGTAAGAAAAGGGGCTAAAAAAGTTAGAATCTATTTGACTTCAAGCTTAAAAAGATGTCAATAAAATACTGCTTTACTCACTTTGATCATTTTCTGCTTGATTGTAAATTTGAGATATTAATGAAAGATAGGATTAGAGGGAATGAATCTTGATCAATTTAGAAAACTAATCAATATACTCATATCCTCAAGTCTAATCAAACCTTCAATTGTGTTCTTAGTTGATTCTTTGAGTAAATATTTTAGCTCGTATTTGGACACGTATCTTATTTGATGAGCCAACTAGGCAGATTGGTTGTCTTGATATAAAACGTTGAGTTGTGATGAGTGATTCGAAGAAAAAGAATGTGGGGGAAGTGAGAGATAGAGTAATCGTTCATAACATTCTTTATATGGAAGAATTTGTTAAAATGGAAATATTAAATCCCTTTTCATCCTAATTTCGTCTAAATAAGTTCTGTCGTTGTTGGGCAGAGTAGGGATTTGAGGGCAAGCACTGTTGCTTTCACTCATCCTTGTAAGCTGAGTACTCCGACCACCGGATCCCATTACCCGGCTTGCTGTGCAAAGTGGCCTCCGTACTTCCGGTTACCAGCTCTGCCTTTACTACTACATAGTTTGATATATTTTTCCTTGTTCAGAAGTTTTGTACGTTTTGATTTTTACTGAGAAAGGATGCTATACTTTTAGAGTTTATTAATTACTTTGAATTATTTTCTAAGGTAAAGGATACAGAAGAGCATGACAGGAGTAAAGTAACAGTCAGCAATTATTGTATGATTATTCAGGCAATGCTTTAAGTCATTCTACCTGTATTAACTCATTTAATGCTCCTAGAGGTAGATAGTAAGCATCAATATTTTAAATGAGGAAACTGGTACAGAGCAGTTAAAGAATTTGTCCAAGTTACATAACTGAGCAATGATGACTTATAATAAGAATTTTATATGGTTTAAAGGGAGTTCCTTGGCTTAAACTGGTACACTGTATACATCAGCGTGGAACTTAAAAGCACTCTTGTTTGGATTCCACTGTGCTTCAAGGAAAAGCTCTAGTACTTAGAGTCATGAAGTCGTCTTCCAACGTGTGTCTGACACAGGAATCACTTGCTTTTGTTTGTTAACGCTGGGTGGATTTTCACCAAATAGCAGTTCAGCTCAGGTGTGTTTTTCTGCCGTTGGATCAAATAATACTTTAGATAATGAGATCCCTGGGACAGAAGATAGTGTCCTCACATAGGAGTTCGTTTGGCTTGAGACTCTAATACAAAAGTCAGTTCTAAGTTGACTTGATATCCCTGAGGTTAAAAAGGGAGCAGAAAGAATGAGGTGTTCTGAGCCCTCGGACCACTGAACTTGTTAATGTCCAAAATACAGATTTGTTTAAAATGCATTTGGAATGAGATATGAGCTCTGAGGTAAAGGGAAATCTTATCCTTGAGATATTACTGGTTCCCTTGAACTCTTTTGCTTTAAAACATTGGTAGTTTTTAATGATTGGCTGTTATATCATTTTCTGTAAAGGGATGTAATTATAGGTGACTATAATCTTGTAGCTGTAGGCTGATAGGGAAGTCACCTTGGCTTTTGGAATAGTGAACTGGGTGGGCATGGGTTTTGGAAGTCCTAGTTTTTTCACTTGTGTGTTGCTGAGCAAATTACTTACTATTTCACCTGCAAATATGAGGAACACCTATAATCTTACAGAATAGGCTCCATAAATGTTAGCTTTCTTTCCTTCTCATTGAAGTAAGGAGAACTTATTCAGAATCAAGTTTACTGGAATGGTAGGTTATTTGATAGTACCTGTCTGGACGTTGAGCTATTATTGTAAGACCACAAAATAATCAGATGACCGCCTGATTGAATCGCTTGTTAATCTTTTGATTTCGCTTCGTGTTCAAGTTTTTAGGTTAAGATTAGCCTTCAGTCATGTTATTATGAAGCATGTCTTTCCATTGAGATCTTCTGTAACATATTTGATAGTGAGTTATTATAAACTTTTTATTTCTAGGAATTTTTCCTTAAAGTCTGGTTTTACCAACATTAGTATAGTGACAGCATCTTTCTTTGGTTAAGCATTGTGTTTTACTGTGAAACTCTTTATATCCTAAGTGTGTTTCTTCAAAATGGGATGTAGTCTTTAATCTGACCATTTTTGAAGGGAACCTAGTTGATTTATGGGTAACGTAATTACAGTGATTAGGTTTAAAGCTGATTGTATATTGTTTGATTTTTCTTCTGCTTTGGAAGTTACATGTTCTGTTTCTGAAATTTTGGGGATCATGTTAGAAATTATAACATTCTTACTTAACATTAGAATAATCTTATTTTCTCCTCTGTATCCTCACCACTGTCTTAATGTATGGTAGTTTAAATTTAACACAGTATGCAATGATGATATTATTTCTTTTAAAATATTTATTTAGATGTATGCAGATATCCTTTTTTGCCCCTCATTTCTTGTATCTTTAGACCTTCTGTTTGGGATCACTTGCCTTCTGCCTGAAGAATATACTTACAGAATTTATTAATGAGAGTGCTGGAGATATTTTTCCCTGAAAGTACTTGTTTCACCTTCATTCTTAAGGGCTGTTTTGGTTGATGATTATATTCTAAGGTTCTTAGTTATTTTCAGCACATCGAGCACACAGCACATTCTGTTGTCTTCTGGTGTTTGTTGAAGAGAAAACAGCGATCCGTCTTTGGGGGCTTTTGAAATTAATCTGTCTTTTCTCGATGTGCTTTTGAGGTGACCTCTGTCTTTATTGTCTTGCCTTTTCACTGACACATCTAACTGTGGGTTTTTTGTTTGTCCTGATTGGGATTTGTAGGGCTGCCTTCCATTACTTCTGGAAAATTCACAGCTATTCTTCATATATTCTGCCCACTCTCTGTGATACTCCTAGAACTTGTATTAAGTCTTTGTTAGACTTTATTGCATCCTAAAGTGTCTTTTCAGTATTTTTCATCCTCTAGTTTCTGCCATAGTTTGGAAAATTTATTCTAGGCTTGCTTCCAGCTCACCTAATTCTCCAGCTGTGTTTGGTTTACTGTTAAACCTGCCCATTTAGTTTGATTTCTGTTATTTTTATTTCTAGAAATTCTGTTTAGTTCTTTGCCAGATTTGGTCTATCATCTTTAATAAATGATCGTTCCTTGTAGATACTGCTCCAGACACTATTTCAAACTTAATAAGCATGGTGTTTTTTTCCACGTTTATATTTTGTTTATGGTCTTTCGAATGATATGTAAGTCTTTAGTAGGACTGGCTTGTGTTGTATTCATTTCTTTTGCCCCTGTTATTCTTGAAAATTGTTTTATTGAAGGTCTGAGGTGAAGATACCTTTCATTTACATTTGGGTATGCATGTGCCTAGAGACCACTTGAAGCTCACAGCTTAGGGTTTTGGGGGGGGCAACACTGATGAGGTGAATTTCGGCTTCTGTCCAGGAGAACTCGCTTATTATCTCTGAGAATATTAGCACTTTGAGGTTCCTGCTTAATTAGGGAAGGTTGCCAAAGGATTCCCTACCTTGGATAGATAGGTCCAGGGCTTTAGGTTTCACCCCACAGTAGTTCAAATTGGGCAGTTGCCTTCACAGCAAAAATAACTTCCTTCTACTTATTCTTTTGTTTCCTGTTTTGCCTTCAGTTTGGGTTACTTCTTTGGGTTATTTCTTACTATCTTATTAGGATTTTCCATGTTTTTAAGATTTTAACAAATGTTTTCAACTTTTTATCAGTAGAATTGGTCTGCATAATCTAGCTTGTCGCTAGCAGGAATGAAAATTGTTCAGATCTCTTAGAAAGCAACTTAATGTCTGATAATTTTATTTCACATTGATTTTACCTAATGTTGATTGCAGTAAAAAAATTAAAAATTAATATAGTGTTAACCTAAAGTTATGTTTCTCAGTGTGATCTGATTGTCTGAGACCACTTGCCTCAGAAGCTGGGTTTCTTGTTTAGACTGCGGATTTTTGAGACCACTCCCTCAGACCTGTGGGGTTTGAATCTGGGTATGGGAATCACTCTTTTGTTTTTTAATAAACTTATTCATAATTTTAGATTTAGTTCGAGGTTCCCACATGTCCCTTACCCAGTTTCTTCTAATGTTAACATCTTACATTACCATTTATTTACATTTATTGGTCAGTCTGTACATTTGTCAAGACCAAAAGACTGTTTTTAGCCATCATCCTGGCTAATTATTTTGTAGAAATGTTACCGGGGAAAGGGAAGTAAGAATTACCCCAGTTCTTAGTCACCCGAAAAAAAGAATTTTTAACAAGATACAGAAAGCATGATACAAGCAAGATTTTTATTAGTAAAGTAAAACAGTAGTAAAAGATAGTACACTCCCAAGAATTGGGAGCAGGCCAATCCAAGAGAGGAAAGATGGCGCTGCTGCTTTGTTTTTCCGTCTTATATCCTGGCTTAGGGTTGCTTTTGTGATTGATTGATTAACGGCTCAGGTTCCTTGAGTGATCAAGCTGATTGACAGCTCAGGTTCCTTGTGCTCAGGTTGATTGACAGCTCAGGTTCCTTATGCTCTGGCACTCCCGTCCTCTTTTGGGCAGGTTTTTATCCATGAAACACAGAGAAACCTACGGGATGGGGCTCAAACTGTAGTGTTAATTGCATTATAATGAGCATTGGGTCGAGTTACACCAGGTCCTTCTCTTATACGCAGCTGCAGCGTTTTGATTTTACCTGGCTTCTTTTGCTGGCCCTCATTTAGAGAAAGTAAAAATTTCTGGAGTCCCTTATCCTGAATGCAGACATACTGTTATTTTCTGGGTTATCCCTTTCGCCTTCCTCTCCCCCTGCCCAGTGCTCATTTCTGTCTTAACTGCCTAACAGAAACACCGACCCCATGCTAGAGATAATTCAAAATGAACAGAGTGAAACATTTGCTTATGTTTATTGCACATGCTAAGATCAGACAAATATCTTTTACATAAATTTACTCCTTAAAAAGAAATCCAATGAGGAAACAATTTTTCCCTACTTTTTGTAAATAATAAGAAGTTGTTTGCCTGAGCAGGATTACTACAAAGCCACTGTCAACTTAAATGATCTGATTACAAAATTACACCTGCTTTTCTTTAAAAAACAGAAGTCTATACACCAAGAAATCTAATTTAGCTAGAGTGGGCAGATTGGAGAAGGCATCTCTGAAGAAATAAAAGCCATCCTGTTCTATCTTGACTCCTCTTTAATAAAGAATTAAAAGAATTTCATTATAAGAGTGTGAATTTTAAGTGTAATGCCACAGAGTGGACACTGAGGGTAGCAGTGTAGCCATTCTTTTGTGAACATGTTAAAATGTCATAAAAATTTTGAATTCAAAAGTTTTGGGTGTTTTTTGCTTCATATTTTTGATAATTGCTGAGATTTACTAGACACTATATATTCAACCCAGCAAATTCTAAAATATTAAAAAGTATCTGAATGGGAAAACCAAATAATGCAGAATGGTACACAAGTTGTCAGTTACTTTAGACTTCCTCTAATAGGTAATTGCTGTTAGGTTTCTGGTGAATCTTTCCAGAAATGTTTTATTCATGAGGAAATCTGTACATGCATGAATATGCATATTCATGTATGTCCTGGTTGGACTTTGCCATACATCCTTTCTTTACTCCTGCTCTTTCTGTGTCAACTCAGATCTGCTTCATTTTTTATTGCAAAACATTCCAGTGTGTGCACCTTACACTCTAATACTAAGTTTACTTTTCGTAAGTAATTGTAGCCGCCATATATATGTGTATATAAACTTCGTATACTGCACTGAAGGATATGGTGCAGTGATTGACAGACACATATATAACCCCTGTAATCATGAATCTTGTGGCCTGGTCAATTGGGAGACAGACCGTGGTTAAATAATCACACTAATTTATAATGGAAGACATGAGATCTTATGATGGAAAAAAATGAGCTTTATAGGAGTGTGTACAACCAAGAAATCTTAGGAAGTACAAGTTGGAGAAGGCATCTCTGAAGAAGTAAATGCCAACTTACTCTGCCTTGAAGAAGTAAAGCTTTGAGCTGAGAGCCAAAGTATGTGCAGGACTTCTTAACCTGTTGGGTGAACATGAAGTGTGCACAGGCCCTTAAATCCTATAAGTGAATAACCAAGGCTGGAATGGACCTATTTAAGGCTTTTCATACTTTGTGGCCAAATTGCTCTCCAGAACGATAATAGTTTATAGGAACACTAGCTGTATTTAAGAATGCATATTCACCATAATTTCCCCAGCATTAAAAGAAAAATTAGAATTCCACTTGTGTTTCTTTGACTCAGTATTTTTCATAATTTTGAATTATTTCTATGTGACTTTTTTGCTAAATGTCTTGTTAATGCTGGCTAATTACCCAGCACTACTAGAGAAATCTGTCAGTGCTACTAGAAATTATTTATAGCAAATAGAAAATATTTAAAAATAGTGTAGGATACATGAGGAAGAAATATTTCCTTTATAATTGTCTAAAGGGTGGAAGTTGGATCAGTAATATTCCAAATATTAGCACTTGACTGCTAAAATCAGTAACTCTTAGCTGTTTAGGTAAAAAGCATATTAAGCATGTTGGTATGAGGAATCACATCTTGTAGCATTTTGTGAGTTAAAGATGAAGGTTTTAATTTTTAAAAGATTAAAGACTTAATTTTAATGTGGGATTCTAAGCTTGATTTTGTTTTTCTTCAAAATCTGCATTACTTATGGCATTCAGCCTTTTTTTTGGGTGAATGTAACATGTTTTATCTTGAGTTTTGGTTTTCTAAAAGCAGTATTCTCTAAATTAATACTACTCTTATAGTGAGAAAGAACTTCAGATATGCTCTAATCAGTCCTAACAGTATTTCTGTCTGATAACCAAGAACATTATGGACAATGTGTCACCATATCCAGCATAGGCTAGGGGCATCGTGGTATTCAGTGGTGTGACGTGGGGTGTGTTTGAAGAGACAGGGAAGGTTTACTTGACATAAGTTGGGACCCAGAGCTCTGTAACTGTCATTAAATAGTTTAAAGGGATGACATTTGATAACAAGAATTATTAAACTTTATTCATGGGGAAGGGGGCATAGAGTACTGAGGTGGTACATTTTGGCTTTTTAACATGAATGATAAAAATTAATACTGTTAAAAATCAAGTGGCTTTGCTCTGTGAGGTCCTTAGCAGGTCAAAAATTTAAGCCAAAAATGACCATTCATGGTTGTTAAAGGAATTTGAATAAAGACCCATTTTATTGTTCCTTTTCTGTGATTCTAGCATACATCAGATTCTTCTAACCAACTGTGCTATTGGCCATGTGAATGCAGAGTAGCAGCTTGTTTTAAACAGTATCCTGTGAAAAATTACTTTAGTGATTTGTGTTCCATGGTTTTTCTCAACACTGATGCTTTTTTAATGAGAGTATACATTTTTTCTCGGGATAGTTTTCAACGTGGTATATTGATTTAAAGGGTTTTTGGCATCAAATGTTGTTACTGATTTTAAATGAGTCATATGCTTTTTTTTTTATTTAACATTGATGTTTCTCTCCATAGGTACTTGGTCGTCATACAACATGGCAGACATCGACAAGTAAGTGGCAGATAGTTGGTTCTTTTTTCAGGGATTTGGCATCATTTTGAACAGTGTAATGTAGTTAGCAGCAGTACTGACTATGTATTATGAAAATGTATGGTGATGACTAATGCTTAGTACCTGCTGTTTTCAAAGTTGGGTACAGTGTATCCAAGACAGAATATAGTATACAGAATTACCATCATAAATATAGTAAACCATTTGTCAGTATTTATTCTTAGGAAAGTGCTGAGCACAATAATGAGTCATAAATATTTGAAGAATTCATTTTCTACCATTTCCCAAAGATTTTACTACTTGCATTGTAATGTATCATAAATACAAGATAAAAATATTGTAAGATGTATGTGTGGAGTTTAAAGAATAACGGGACAATTGTGTTCAAGTTTTTGAAAATGGAAGATCACTGTAGGAAGCCCTGTGTGTCTCTCAATTTCATCCTTCACCTTTCCTCTCCAGAGGTATCAATATTATCTTGATCTTTGTCTAATTCCTTTCTTTGTTTTTCTTTGGAGTTTTACCACCTACAAATTCTTAATCAGTGTTTACTTTTGAAAATCTGAATGGTAGTCACACACTTAGCTGTGTAAAGAGAAACACAGTGTTACCAATATTAATTGAGGGGTCCAAGGTAGGAGAACAAAAAGCAAAAGAGACTGGGTCATGGTCTGGCTTCAGCTTTCCTGAGTCTCTGCAAGGTCTTATTTTGGAGAAGCCGTTGGGCAAGGTCATGCATCCTGGAAACATAGGTTTATTGAAATTGGCATCTTGCAGGGTTCTTGTGTGGATGGATGTCTTGTAGAAGTGTGTCAAGGAGAATGGGTTGAGCTATACTATTTGCTGCTTGTCTTTTCACAGGAGTGCCAACTCAGAGAAGGAGATTAAAAAAAAAACAATTCAGGAGGGAGGGGTTATGACATGACTAGCCACGGCTGTTGTAGGCAGCAGAGCGTGGAGTTGGGAGGGCTGGAAACCTTATCACTTATCATGAGGGCAACACATTGAAATACTGGTAAGATTTCTAGCCAGTTCTCCCATGTACCCTGTCTTCAGCGTAAAAAGAAGAGTGGCAGCAGGCATTTTAGTGATAATGACTCTCAAAGTGATTGTCTTCTGAATCATGCCGCTCCAGTGCGGATTACTTAACCTTGGTTACACAGCTGTCATTTTAGATTTATATTATCTTCCTAGGGTTTCCTTTTGTTTCTCCTATTAGGTTTGCTGTTGGCCAATAGGCCAATAGGATTTGTGTCCTTTTTTTGGTTCGTTGGTTTAGTACCTGCTTGGAAGAGTACAAAGGAAGTAAATTATTTTGAGATGGCACGTCTGGAGATGACTATTTTACCCTTGTGCTTGATAGTTTGGGTGTGGAATTATAATTTGGGAATCATGTTTTCTTCGGAATTTTGAAGGCGTTGCTCCGTTGTCACTTTGCTTCTAGTGTTGCTGTGTTGAAGTTCAAAGTCATTGTAATTCTTGATCATTTATACGTGGCACTTTTTAAAAAGCAGGCATATATATCTGTTTCTGAAAGCTCCTCTGGCTTCAGAGTTCAGAAATTTTTACACTGTCAGGTCTGTGTTTTATTTCTTCTGTTAGGCATTCAGTGGTAGACCCTTTCAATATGGCAGTGTGGTAGCTCTCAATTCTGGGGAATATTATTGACTTATTTTGTTGACTGTCTTGTTCCCATTTTCTCTTTCTGGAGTTCCTTTTATATGTTGGACTGGTTCTTCTAATTACCTTTTGTCCTAGTTTCCATCTTTGTCTCTTTGCTCTTCTTTCTTGGTGAAGTAGAAACTTTATCTTTCAACTCTTACATTGAGTTTCTAAATTTCTGTTGTTTTAGTTTTCAGGTGTTCCTTTGCTCTCTGTTCCTGTTTTTATAGCATCTTGTTCTTACTTCATTGTTTGTAATATCTTTTCTTTGGATGTACTTTCCCCTGTGTAGTCTGGTCTTAAAATTTTCTTTCTTTTCTGGTCTCAATGGCTTTCCTCATATAGGAGAAGATAATACTTGGTTGTCTGCTCATTAAAATTGGAGTGGGGGAAGGGGTAGTTGAAGGATTTTTTTTTTAAGCTAATTGGAGAATTTAGAGTTTTAGGGGAAAGGAGGGCTTGTTAGTTTAGGATTTTAATGTGGACTCAGCAGGGTGGGTATTTGTTGTGAGAACCCCCAGTGTCAGAATGCCATTTTTTCTGAGCTGGTCAGATACCCCAGTAAAGAGTGTTTGGGTAAAGATCTGGCTTCCAGTGTTCTGGGAACTGAGTGAGGAGAAAGCAGCTAGGGAGGGGGCTCTGCATTCAGCGTTCTAGTCGGGATATTGTCCTGGGTCTGTGAGCCTCTAGTCTGAGCTCTCAGCTCCCTTTCCAGAGAAGAAGCTGTTACACTTCTGCTAGAGCGAGGGAGGAACTAAGGATTTAACTCTTACAGTTTTTGCTTAGTCCTCCCTGTTTTACCCACGCTCACCCCTAAGCCTTAGCTCTAGAAGGATTCTGTGTTTAGGCCGGTTCTCAGCTCTACCGCTGCTGACTTAGATTTCATTTCTCAGTGAAGTTGCTGCTCTTGTCTCCTAATCCTTCAGTGTTCATTTAAAAACCCTTTTGTCATAATTTTAGTGGGACTTTTGGAAGGATTAAGATCAGATGAGTACATGCAGTCTGCCATCGAACCTTCATTTTGTCTTAAATTCTGAAAAAAAAGAATAAATTGGTTGTGAGAGCTTGATCCCCCCCCCCCCCAATTATTTACTGTTGGATGCCTGTGAGCCCTGGGAGGGTGGGAGGAAGAGGAAGATCCTTGTTCTTTAAAGCAGAAGTCAGCAAACTTTCTCCGTAAAGGACCTGATCGTAAATATTTTAGGCATTTTGGGCCATGTGGTCTCTTGTTGCAACTGTTCAGCGCTGCTGTTGTACTGTGAGAGCAGCCATAGACAAATCAATGCGGCTGTCTTGCAGTAAAACTTTATTTATAAAAATAGGAGTGGATTGGATTTGGCCACGTGACAGTTTGTAGACTCCTGTTTTAAAGCTTTAAGATTTAGATGTTCAATAAATAATTAAATGAGATGACACTGGAGGAAGAGCTGTTCCATGTTATCTTCAGTTAGTGACCCTTAATTCTAAATATACCTAACTTTATACTAAGTGAAAGATACCTTTTTCTAACAAAATAGTCTGTTTCTGTTGGGAAAGCTTTTTTTTTCTTGGTTGACAGAAACATAAATTTTTCTAGCAGAATACGGTACTTCTGTATGTGTCCCCATATGAAAATTAGAGAGTATTTGTTCCTGTATGAAAGTTAATTTTTCAAATGCTGTTTCTAGACATGAAAGCAACTAATTCTCTAAACCAAGTATTAAAATGTAAAATTACATGAGGAATTGTACAATGATGACTTCGATATCCTAACTCTCCATTTTAATGCTGATTTTAATCTCATGTTCCAAAACTAGATTTTTAAGATGAAGTAGGAAGAACGTTTTTACTTTTTACCTTCTCTTTTAATGGTGCCATCCTCCTGGCTTAACTCTTAAGCATGAAGTAGACTGAAGTCTTTTACTATTCTTCCCCATCTCCTCTATGAAGTAAAGAAAAAGGAAAATCCAAAGATAGTAAGTACAGGCAGATGTGGTTGTTCCCCAGCCATCAGGGACCCGGAATCCTTCTGTTTTTCTAGACTGTTTTTCTAGACTCCTTTATTCTTAGCTGGTGACTTTCATTCTGTAGGATGCCTCATGGTCCAGCATGGCTGCGGAAGCTCTAGCCATCATATCCCTGTTCCAGGGAGGGAGCAACATCAAAAAGGCTTCCAGCTGTTTACCATCTTATTAAGGAGGATATATATGTATATGTTCTACACTATGTATTTTCTTAATCTCACTGCCAAAATATGACTATATAGCCACTCTAGCTAAAAGGTAGGCTGAGACACATAGACTTCTTAGCTTGGTATTATAGCCATCTCATATAAAATCAGAATGCTTTTACTAGGAAGAGTGAAATCAGTAGATAGTGGGTAGAGAGCACATACTTCCTGACATTACATTCTCTGAACCAAAACCTATCAAATCACATTCTTAAAGCCTGAAGTATACACTTTGTATTTGACCAAATGTTTTTAAATGAAATTTTGAGTACTTCCAATTTGTACTTGTTTGTACATATGAAGTTAGAAAACTGAATTACCTTTTGGATTTCCTATTTCATACTTCTGAAAGAGATATATTAACCTAGAAAATGAATTGAAATTTTCTATAATTTTTTTTTGATAATTGGTACATTTGAACCTTGGTGTGATACTATGATATTGTAGCAAAGAACAGTCTGAACTTGATCAAGATTTGGATGATGTTGAAGAAGTAGAAGAGGAAGAAACTGGTGAAGAAACAAAAATCAAAGGTATTATTTTAAATTATTTTAGGAGCCAGTGATTGCTGGCGCGTGTCTTCTAAAGGGTAGTAATAAATACCATTCTTTCTCGATTCTTGTCCACTTTACTGACTGGCCCATACCATACAGTAAGAGTTTTATGTGTGAATGTACGTTTGGGTTTGGGGAGAGTAAGGGAGGGAAGAGGGGAAGAGGGAGATGGAGACGGAATGGTAGTAAGTGAGGACAGTGAGCACAGATGCCCATCAGAAGTGGGTAAAACACAGATGGAAGGGAGAGAAAGGATACTGTTAATAGCAGTTGTAGTAGTGGCCTTGAGAAATGGTGTGCACTAGACGTAACTTGGAGTCTGAACTTCTTCTGTATGTTGGGTTTTCCTAGAGTGAATTTTCTTTAGCTTGCTGCTCGTCTCTGCTCAGACTAGTGATTTATGGGCTAATCAGGAAAACTTCATGATTGGATTGTCCTATTAAAATAGCATAATACATTTTCATAAAATCCTTCTTTCGATGCCCTCCCCTTTTTTTTAAAGCGCGTCAACTGACTGTTCAGATGATGCAAAATCCTCAGATTCTTGCAGCTCTTCAAGAAAGACTTGATGGTCTGGTAGAAACACCAACAGGATACATTGAAAGGTACAAGTTCTTTTTCATGGTCTTTATCTTTCTATAATCAACATTGCAGGTGTATCTTTTTAAGGGCATCTACGACTTACGTATGTCTCAGTGGGAAGCTAATGTTTTGTTAGTACCGAGTATAGGATTATTGGGAGTTTAAAATTTTGCTAAGTACCAATTCAGAGCTGGTCTTTTAAAATTTATTTTGGTTCATCTCTATAGGAATTATACTGATCTTAACCATTTCTGAGATTTGTTAGAAATGCACAGAATTAGAAGAAATACAAATTGCTTATTTATTTCATTGATGATTTAAATCATTAATAATAGCCCAAATATCTTCTTATGCTTATAATTTTTTACAGAGCTCTATGATTTTAGGATCCATCCACATTGCTATCTATGTATATCTCTAGTCAGTAGTTTCTAGCTTCTAAGTGTTGCGTAGTTCTCTGTGATGTGTGTCCACCATGCTTTCTTCTATGCTTTTTCTTTGATGGACCTCTAGATTGCCTCCAAACTCCATCAACACAAATTCCATTGTAATGGTAATCCTTGTTCATGTCCTCTTAAGGAACTGTGTGAGAATTTCTGTAGGATATGTACTTACCAAGGGGATTGATAGTTACGGGGCTTGCAAGCCTCAAGTACTTCCAGCTTGCTTTCTGCAATGAGTGTATCTAATACGTGAAAATTGCTTTATCCTGGTGTCTTGCCAACTGTTGGCATCATTCAGCTTTATAGTTTTGTTTTTATCAGTCTGAGAGGTGGTAAATTCTGATTGCTAATGAGTTCTGAGTGTCTTTTCATAATAATTGTGACTGAGCCTTTTAGGTCGCTCATTTGTACCCTTTTTTCTCCCATTCACGTTTTGGAGTTCACTGTCTTTCTTGTTTTGTAGGAGTTCTTATGTATCCTAAGTTTTCAGTTTTAGACTTCGTAAATAATCTACTGTGTCATTCCTATTTTGTCAGTAGTGTCCTCCATTAAATAGAAATCCTTAATTTTTATGTTTGTTAAGTTTTTGGACCTATGGCTTGTTCTTTTGAAGATAAATCTTTCCTCGTTTCTTCTGCATTTCCTGTTGACTAGTTTTACCTTTTACCTTTCACCTTTAGTTCTTTAATCCATCTAGAGATCACCTTTATATTTAGTATTAAATAGGCATCCAGTTCCTTTTTTTTTTGCCTTTTTGGTGAGCTAGCTTTTATAACGCTTCACTAAACAGTTCACTCTTCCCCCATTTATTTGCGTTACCACCTTTATTACATATCAAATTCTAATTATCAGCGCCTTTGTCTTTGAGCAACACTCTTCAGTGATCTTTTTGGCCGGTTTTTTGTCATTGTCCCACTTAAAAGTCCCTATGGCTTTATAGGATGTCTTAGTATCTGGCAGGGTGAGTTGCTTTCCTCTGCCACTCCTCAGCCACCATGGAAACATGTTTTTAAGGTTGACCTTACAGTCTCTAGGCCTTTATCCCATGTATGGTTGAGCATACGTATATCAGGGTTCGCTCAAAAAACAAGCAAACAGAAAAATAACTAAAATTTGATAGGAATTCCACCATCTTTTTGATAGTAAATTATCGCATCCATATCCTTGTATTTATTCAGATCATATTCTGTGTCTTTCATACAAACTTTTCTTCTTGTTTAATTCCTGTATGCTGTGTGTTGCTATGAATAATACCTACTTTTTTAGTGTTTTCTGGTTGGCTGTTCTTGGTAAAGGAGTGCTGTTGATTATTTTTTTTTTTAAGTTGCTACACTTATTGTATAATAATTTATTCTCTTTTCTTCTCCTTAGCCCAAAGGGTCTTAACTGCAAATAAATAATGGCAGTTTTAGCTCTGATCTTCCATATTACACCACACCACGTTCATTTTTCTTCCTTTGTAACATTGGTCGGGGCTTTCAGTACTGTGTTAAACATTAGCATTAAAAATGGGCATCTTTGTCTTATTTCTAGTGTTAATTGAGAATAGATATATAATCTCTTCATTAATTTGGTGTCATTTATGACTTTATGACCTTTTTTCCTTCAAATGGTCTTTTGACTTTTGCTTTGAATCTGTTAAGTATATATTTTTAGAAATATGAGTTGGCTGGTTAATATTTTATTTAGGTTCCTTATTCATTAGTGAAAAGAGTTTTGTGTGTGCATATATGTGCATGTATATGTATATATATGTATGTACAATAAAAAATCTTTCAGGGGATGATAATTCTGTCCCCTGGTTTCAGAGTCAAGATTTCAACTGCCTAGAAGTGAACAGGATTGCTTGTATTTTTTCCCCTGTGTTTTGAAATAACTTGTATACGATAAGAGTTCCTTGAGTAGTTGGTAGAACTCTTCTGAAAATTGACTTAGGCCTTTGGGATTTGGAAACTTGAGGTCCTGGGGAATTTTTCCTCTTTTTTTTTTTTCTCTTTTTTTCTTTTTGAACATACTAACCTCTTCAAGTTCTCTTGTGCCAATTTTGGAGTTTTATATTCTTCTAAAAATGTATGCATTTTAGGTTTCAAATAGATTATTACATAATTCATGACATTTGAAAAACTGATTATTCCCTTTAATATTCTGTATTCTCCATTTTGCATCTTCATTAATTTTGCCAGTTTTCTCAATCTTAATGTTCTCTAGGACAGCCTTTGATTTTTCCATTTGCATACTTATTTGTTATATCAATTCTCTTTTTGGGGGCTTTAATGTTATTTCCTTCTTATTTGGGTTTACTCTTCCAGTTTCTTTAATTGACTGCTTAGTTCATTTAATTAAAAAATTAATCAGTCTCTTTAAAGGCTGTATGTTCTGTGAATGTTAAGTGTGAAGGTCTACATGCTGAAATCAGTAACTCAGGCATATTAATGGTATTGTTCAGGTTGTCTTTATTTCTGCCTTATTGATTGACTACTTGATCTAACAGTTTCTGGGAAGGATGTGTACTTTCTCTTCCTGTAATTCTGTCAGTTGTGCGTTATACCATAGATTATTTTGTCTGATTCTAAGATACCTGTTTTAGCTTTCTTTTGGTTTTTATTTATCTGGCATGTCTTTTTCCATCCTTGCAATCTTACTTTCATGTAATTGTTTCTTAGTAATTTCAAACTCTTTACATTTCTTAGAAGTGTTAATTGGTTTTGGACTTAATTACTATCCTCTTTCCTTTCTTTTTAATTTATGATACTTTCTTTTATTCTCCTTTTTCATTGAATAGATCAAATTGTCTTCTGTTGGTTTCAAAGTTAATGCATTCTATTTTTTGTTATTACGGTAAAGTGACTCATGACCTAATACCTAACTTTAATTACCCCTATTAATCTCTAAATTTACCCATAATGTACTTATAGGCCTGTTTTTCCATCAAGGCAACAAATAAAATTTACCAAGATATTTTTGACTCACCCATACCTTATATATCATCTACAGGATATATTTTTACTTCCTCAAAAGTTATTTTTAGTGAATGTAATATCTGTGACTTACTTATTAAGGCCTCATATACCTCATACCATTTTTATTTTACCGTCATATCTGAAATAGTTTGGCTATAAAATTTTAAGTTCGAAGTTCTTAAACATCTTAAAATTTCACTCCATTTTTTATATCCAGTGTTCTCTTTGAAACCTGATGTCAGTCTGATTTCCTTTGTAGGTTATTTGCTTTTTTCATTGAATACCTTTAGAATTTTCTTTTGTCTTTGATAGTCATGAATCTCATCGGCATGTCTAGTGATTTGAGTAAGGATGTTCATACTGCTTTAACTCTGAGAAATTTATTACTCTCATTTTTTCAGATACTCAATTCCCTTCTCTATTTTTCAGCTGCTGTTACATTTGTCGTTCATGTCTCCATATCATAGCTTTTCTGTCTTTCCTGCTGCCTCTCTAAAGAACTTTTCAACCTCGTGGATTTTTTTCTTCCTTTGAACCTATCTTGTTTATTTATTTGTTGGTTATTTTAGTTATTGTATTTTTCATATTTAATATTCCCACCTTGTTTTGGATTTCTTGGTCTTGTTTCATGGTTAGTATCTATCTTCCTTTATCTCTTGAAGTATGTTTATATGCCTGTTTAAATTCTCAGTATGTCTGTAATGCTTCGGAAAATAAATGATTTCATTCTTTCATTGTACTCCGCAAGGGTCTAGTTGGCCTTACAGCTCAGACACACTGGCTGAGATCAGTTACTCCAGTAATGAGTGTTGAGGGAGGAGTCAGACTTTGGTCTGTGACAAGCGCATGCAGTTTAAAGAGAAGGAGGGGGTGGGGCATGAACATAATAAGGAGAATCCAGTCACCTCAGACCCCGAGTTGGTTGACAGGTCCAGGCTGTTTTGGGAGGAGGCAGTCTCCTCTGGTTATAATCCATTGTTCCTGGGTGGAGAGGGTAGAAGAGTGCTTCGGGGCCCTGAACCAGTGCAGCTTTCATCAGCTCTGCGTGTTATCCTAGGAGCACTGGCACTGGGCTCTGCGGAAGGTGAAGGGGGCAGGCAGTAAATGTGGAACGCAAGCATAGAATTAAAAGACTTGCAAAAAAGCTTTCTTCCAACTTGTCCTCACTGGTACTCACTCTGGTCCCGCCCCACCCCTCCCCCTAGCTTTCTTTCTAAGTTGTAGCTCACCCTGTCTGTACCAGTTGAAGACAGCCTCCACTCAGAATTCGCTTGTGGGCTCTGTGTGTGTGTGTGTGTGTGTGTGTGTGTGTGTGTGTGTGTGTGAAGTAGTTGTTTCCTTCCTAGTTCTAAAGTTCTAGGGTTGATTTTTTTGAGTTGTGTAAATGGAGGGAGTCTAGCCAACCATGCTCTTTCACCACCTTGACAGAACATTAAAATTTTTACTTTTAATTGTAAGAAATAAAAAGTTGATAGTTTAGTTACTAGTTTTACTTCTAACTAAAGTAGTGGTTAAGTAAGAGAATTATTTGATTGACAACAATCTGTCTAGCCTGGATTTTGGATCAAATCCCCTGAACTTAGGAACTTTTGGGTGTGAACATTTTTGGGGATGGTAGAAGCCTTCATAAGTTTAATCATTTTTCAAGGGGTTCACAGACCAGATGTATATAACATTTGAAAAGTCTGTGCCCCACAGTGAATTGTATATAAATTAATCTCAATAAAATTGTTATTTAAAAAATCCATCTCCCCTCTTCATAAACTATTACATACTTATTTAACTTCAGATTCCAAATTAAATATGGAGGCCTAAGTAGAAAATAATGGTATAGGATACCGTTCTTTTCCACAAAATACATAATGCTCCCCTCCTTTCTCCTCATAGTATTGATACAGGTGAGATGTGCAGTTGACCCTTTTGAACAACGCAGGGGTTAATCTGCGTACAACTTCCGGTCCCTTATAGCCCTCAATCTGCAGTTCCTTCACAGCTGTGGATTCGACCAACCACAGACCATGGAGTGCTGTGGTATTTACTGTTGAAAAATATCTGCATATGAGTGGACTGAGGCAGTTCAAACCCATGTTATTCAAGGGTCATCTGTACATATTAAATAATTCAGGTTATCATTCTTATTCTTAGAAATAGGATGGTCAGTCTGACTTTTTAACTTTGTAAGATAGACTCATTTTACAGCTGAGATGCCAGCACTGACAAGTCCACCTCTGTCTGAACTTGATTACAGTGAAAGATTTCAGGTTGATGATAGGATTTACATTTTCTTATCAACTTACTGTACCTGGTTAAATTTCTGCTTCTGAAATGTTTTTGGTCAAGAGGTTCATGTATTTATATCTTGAATTGAAATTACTTTGAATGTACTGTTTGTTTCAAGTAGGAAACCTGTCATTCAGTAATTTTTATGCTTTGATTTCAATAAGATGAAAGAAGTGTGACTTGGGTTTTACTGTGATGCTATGTAACGAGTGCTCTCTAACCTTTCAGCTTGCCTAGGGTAGTTAAAAGACGGGTGAATGCTCTCAAAAACCTTCAAGTTAAATGTGCACAGATAGAAGCCAAATTTTATGAGGAAGTTCATGATCTTGAAAGAAAGTATGCTGTCCTCTATCAGCCTCTATTTGATAAGGTAATGCTTTCTACTACTTTGTTTTATCTAAAATTGAAGTTTCTTTGGAAATACAAACTTTCTTTAAACCTCTCAATATTTTAAAATTGTTTTTAGAGGTATTTGGGAGAATTATCAATAATAGCAATTCATGTTGTAGGATGCATTAATTAAATCTGTAAGCATTCTTTAAAAACAGCTAGTTTTTAGTTTGGATGCCAGTGTTTTTAATGCCAGATTTTTTTAATCGTTCTAGCGATTTGAGATTATTAATGCAATTTATGAGCCTACGGAAGAAGAATGTGAATGGAAACCAGATGAGGAAGATGAGATTTCGGTTGGTACTAACTTCAATTTACTGTTTTTAATAACTCGGAAACATTTTCTTTATTGTAAGATGGTTAGGTACAGATAAGCCACTGCTTATCTTGGCACCATCTGTACCCAAATTCACTTTTTCCTCACATTTTTACAGTATTTAACATTTATAGATTCATATAGACTTTTCCTTTGAACTTCACGATGACATACAAAGGATTTTCCATTTTTCAAGTGGAGATGGAGGCTTCTAAGTAACTTGCCCACAACTAATAGATGGCAGAGCTATGACAGAAACCCAGTGCTCTATTATATGACCCTGTTTCTCTGGCATTGACATTTTCGTGTTGGTTGATGGAGAGACTATATTTTGATTAAGAACACTAAGGGGGGAGGCAATGGACAAGGTTTGCATTTCTTTTGCTTTTCTTGTTTACTATGCTTAAAATTCTTCTCCCCTCCCCTCCTCATGAAAGTAAGAAAGTTTTTCCCTATAGCTCATGGTCCTAGTGGCTTTATCTTTGGAGGGACATAGTGATAACAGTATTTATAGATGTAAGGTTTGGTATGGGTAACAGCGGTGTTTACACAATTAGACTAGATCTTCTTTAACTAATAGTTAAAATTAGTCGGTGAGGGTTTGCTGATTTCTAAACTCTGCCACTGCATGTAAGTTAAGGAGATATAAAAAGGATTTATCAGGATGTCTAATCTAGGTATTGAGTAATGAATGCTGTCTTTTATCAAGGAGGAGCTGAAAGAAAAGGCCAAGATTGAAGATGAGAAAAAAGATGAAGAAAAAGAAGACCCCAAGGGAATTCCTGAATTTTGGTTGACTGTTTTTAAGAATGTTGACTTGCTCAGTGATATGGTTCAGGTAATTTTATTCATAAAAACACCAGTTTACCTCCCAGGGTAAACCTTTGAAATTTAAATGGCTGTGACGACTACTAGTCTCTTTATTGTTGACCTTTATAAAGTAATTGCTTTCTTTCAAAACAGCTGTTATCTACAGAAGGAAAATCATAGCTTTGATTAATCAATTATAATCCATTTTCAAAACTTAGATAATGAAATCACCCCTTTGAGATTTGCTCATTGTTGTCTGATGCTTTCTAATAGGCCTGTGCCATCCGTTTTTCTATGTGGAGGTGGAGGTAAGGTGGGAGAGACTCAGGAGTTTCAGTTTTCTTATCCCAGCGACCTTTTCAGTCTGAAATCACTATTCCAAGGGATGCTTGCATTTTAAAAGAATACTGTAAAAATCTTTTAACTATTTTAGCAACTGTCTCTTTTTCTGGGAAACCAGTGCAGATGTCACATCTGGGAAACTTGGCCTCTCCTAATCAGAAGCATTTCTGGAGCCGCTGTCATCTGCATTGTAGTACTAGCCTTGTATTGTGATTGTTAGAAATTAACGTCAAGAAAAAAGATTATCTCAGAACAATGACTACTTGCTGCATTTCTACTTTAGCAAAGTAGGAAAGGAACAAGAAGCACCTGGAAAAAGCAGCAAATAGGATCAGGAAACGTTTTTAAAACACACTTGCCCTATTTAGACTTGGTTTTGAACTTTCAGCCCATTCAGATGTATAGTAATGTGGTTCTCTGTTTAGTCACCTTTTTTCAGCCAGTGGCAATAGAAAGAGGTAGAACTAAGTAAACTAGCTTCTGTGTAAGCCATAACCTGGAGAGTACATCTATCTCCTGGTTCATAATTGTGCATAAAACTTAACTATAAAATGTCTCAGTCGGCCAAGTGCTTATTGTCCAGTAGCAAAACAATACTCTTAAAATGCCATTTAAAGACTCATTTTAATATGTTTTTAATTTGAAGGAACATGATGAACCTATTCTGAAGCACTTGAAAGATATTAAAGTGAAGTTCTCTGATGCTGGCCAGCCTATGGTAAAGGAATTTTTGAAATATTTTCAATTTTGTAGGATTAAATGTTTGCAGGTAGATGAATGTAACTTTCTAAAAAGAGATGACATTGAAGGGTTGGACATGGGAGTGAGAAGAAGTTAAAGCTGATACTTGGTACACTTAATTGTTGGTAGGAAATAAATGTTTGGATGTTGATAATTGTGTTGCAGTATTTATTCCTTTTCCTCCCTCTGAACATAAACTACTTTTGAAATATAGTCGGTCCTTGATCCTGAATTAAAAATACTAGCAAAGGAATATGAATAAGAAACTACTTATTCTGTATTAAAAGGCATGTGGCTGAGAATTACCCAAAACAGTATGTGAGAGGGCCCCCACTTCCCTATTATGAAAGATCAGCCAATAGCTTCTTCCCAAAACCATCAGTATTATGTAAAGCATGGGCAAAGGTGCCACAGGCTACTGATTCTTGCATGAACATGTGATAAGGTTGGGCTTTTCTCTGTCAAGCTCAGGTTCTCCTCTAAGGTTTAAAGTCCTCTTTGTGGATGGAGGAAGGGGGACTTAGTCATTTTATTCAGCTGTACCTAACCCATTTCTTAAACATACTACTAAATAGTTGTAGGCTGAACTAAATTTTATTCAGTTTATTTTGTGCATCATTTTGCTTTTAATATTATTTGGGATTTATCTGACCCTTTCCTGAAGTAAAAAAAAACATTATCACTTAAAATTTTATGTTTATAAAAATCACAGATTAAGCTTATTTACTAAAGCATTGCTATTTATCATGTAGGAATGTAATTAGTTTTTATACTTTTTTTTTTTTAAAGAGTTTTGTCTTAGAATTTCACTTTGAACCCAATGAATATTTCACAAATGAAGTGTTGACAAAGACATACAGAATGAGGTCAGAACCAGATGATTCTGATCCCTTTTCTTTTGATGGACCAGAAATTATGGGCTGTACAGGGTGAGTTTAATTTTACTACTTTAACAGAATGTTATATCTGGTTTTTACTTACGATTTGTGGTGCTTGGTATTCCTTAGTGTGCTTGTTATATACGTACATAATTTTTCTCCAAACATTTCAGTAAAACATTTTCTGAGAAGGGATTATCCCTTTTCCTAGAATTCTCCGTAGACTACTACAGATATTTTTCCGAAGGAGTGCACATTTAAATTTATTGTGAGTTTATGGTAATTATAAATAAATTTATTGAAAAAATTTGTTTAGAAATAAAAATTTTCTCTTTGTACAGCTACAGAAAGCATTTAAACCAGTTTTGCCCTCTAAAATTTTAAATTAAATAAGACATTTAATTAGAAAAGTCTCAATTCTCCTAGCAATTGAAAGTAATGTGTTAATTATGATAGATGATTTTTTTCCCTTTGTTTTGGAAGGTGCCAGATAGATTGGAAAAAAGGGAAGAATGTTACTTTGAAAACCATTAAGAAGAAGCAGAAACACAAGGGACGTGGGACAGTTCGTACTGTGACCAAAACAGTCTCTAACGACTCTTTCTTTAATTTTTTTGCCCCCCCTGAAGGTAAATAGTATATTACTTTCGATATATATATATTTTTTCAGTTATTATAGACTTTGCTTAACTTTGTACTCACTTGAATTTCTCTTTTCAATTTTGCAGTTCCTGAGAGTGGAGATCTGGTAAGCTGAATTGTTACTTGTTGATTTGTTGATATGAAATTAAAGGGCTGTCCTTTAAATGTAGGCAGCGGGATTGTTGGTACTAGCATTGTGTTCTGAGGCTTGCAAAGCACGGAGGGAGACCTTTACTCATCTGAAAAATTATTCCATTTAAAATACACATAGTGCTTCTGCTGAGGAATGCTGAAAGGCTAACATTTTCTTGAGTTGCAGATACTTCTGTGAGGGATTCAAGTTTTTAAGACTATAATTTTCTTCCTTACTGAAACTAGAATGTATTAAGTCATTACTAAACTCTAACCACATTTCGGTTAAAACTCTTTCTGTATTTATATTGCAGTGGAAATGTGGTTTTATGTATGTGGTCTTACAGCCGGAAACTATGAGATGTGCCTGGCATACAGCCTGAAATGAGGAGCAGCCTTAAAGAACTCTTTACCGGCAGGGTCAGCTAGATATGCTCTGAATTTGGTTTAAGTCTGTTACCAAATAGTGATGGTAATAAAACAATCTTGAGTAGTTATGGATAGAATGTCTCTGCCTGTGATTAGAATTCTTTCCTTCAAAATCTGCCCCTTTTTTGTGTTTTGTTGCTATGAGTGGATTATGTTGGTGAATCAAAATAAATATCCATAAATTCACAGAATATTTACTCATTGTTTAGTATCATAGAACTTAAATGGGATCATTTTAATTTTGAATAATGTCAGCAGCATTTCTGTGCTGTACTTTGCATTAAGTAGAAATCCTAGTTGACTTAGTCTTTATCAAGTAGGACTTTGTCTCATTTGGCATCACACGGCTGCTTGGATATTGTCTTCTAGGAAGTTTGAAGTGATCCTCTGTGGTCTTTTATTCTACTTGGTATTTTCAGTAATTAATATTTTAAAAGAAAAACTGCAGTTGTATGACAAAATTGCTTTTGTACTTTTTTTGAAAAAAGAACTAAGCAATAACCAGTTCTAATTTTTTATTTTGCAAATTTCTCTGAGTATGTACAATAGCCTACTAACTTTTTTTTTTTTTAAACCTATGAACGTGGAGCCTATGTAGGTGGCTACTTGATCACGTCTATGTAGGCTAATTATAAAATGTTGGAAAGTTAAAAGTGAAGTGGGAAGTTTCTTCCTAAATGATTTAAACCTAGCAGTCCCACATACGCCGAGTTAAGAAACAGTGTTACTAAATTGTTTGCATTTCTTTAACAGGATGACGATGCTGAAGCTATTCTTGCCGCAGACTTTGAAATCGGTCACTTTTTACGTGAGCGCATAATTCCAAGATCAGTGTTGTACTTCACTGGAGAAGCCATCGAAGATGATGATGATGATGTGAGTCAATCTGAATCCTGCAGTGACGTCATTTGGTGAGGGCATGATAGGCAGGATTGGTGAGAGGTTTAATGAATAGATGTAATTTTTTTAAAAGCAAGACGGACTAATTCAAAATTAGGTTTTCCAGGATCCTTGGGTCCATTTATTGTAGTTGTTACTTTCCTGCGATTAGGAAGACTGCTCTGAAATAGGAAAACTTAACTATGTTGGGTTAGTGTTGTAGCTCTGTTACGTATCTTTGACCAAACAAAACATAACCTAGGACGTTCTTTAAGGGGCTGATAAAAGTCTTTATTAGGAATAGTGGAATTTTTATCCATGATAATATTAAGTAACTATTAAGGCAAAATTAGGCTGTTTTGGACATCTTTATTGCTAAATGATAATCATTCAGGTAGGTTTTAGGTTTTTTGTGTGTGGTGAGTTCCATAAGATACAGGCAAGTGTATGGTCATAGTTTATCTGATCATACTTTATCTGTGTTATTTATTTCAATTTTTTAAGTTGTCAGGTTTAGATAATGGCATTGAGCTGGGTGATTTGTGCAGCTATTACCCTTGTTTTAATCTATAACCAGTCACCTTTGGGGAAAATACTTTTTCTTTTCTTAGATATTAGTGGATGCAGTGGTAGATACTGACAAATGCTATTCTCAAACGATTGTAGGCTTCATTCAAACATCATCCTTTTTTCCCTTTTTTAGTATGATGAAGAAGGTGAAGAAGCGGATGAGGTAATGTTTACCAAATGAGCAAATAATTCTCTGTTTAACAGATTGAGAAGCAAATTGAGTGACTTATGTATTCCTTTGCTATATAATCATTATTCTGTGATCTGGGATAAAAACATTTTTGGAAAAAATTTGATTTTAGAATTCTACAGCCAAACAATGTATGTATGAGGTTTCAATAAATAAATTGCAAAACTCAGAACATTTTTTTTATTTCGAATAATTCTGTTCTGCTGCAGGGTTATCAGCTCTTTGAAGAAGTCAAAAGCTGCAGTAAACTTTTTCAACATTGGCTGCAGTAAATCTTTTCAATAAAACCTGTCTGGATGTCTCACGTTGTGTTGGGAAATTTTTTATATTAGAAGCTTTCAAATTAAATTGCATTGTCACCAAACTCTGTAATCATGAAAATCTGTTGTCCTATAGAGTAATTTGTATTAAATTCTCCCTACATTATGAGCCATTTCTTCCTACTGTGTACCTACTTCATGGATGCATTTTGAACTTTAATATAGGAAGGGGAAGAAGAAGGAGATGAGGAAAATGATCCAGACTATGACCCAAAGGTGAGCAAAATTAGTGCTGCTTTCTGTTAAATTTAAGGCAGGTTAAATATGAGTTAATGTTTCTGAATATAAAGTGTATTTTTGTCCATTAAAGTCCTTAAAAGCCCACTGACTGGAGATATATATATGTATCTCCTCACTGGCATTTTACTAGTACATGTAATTTCAATGCATCTTTCCTAAGAAACTTTTATTTTAGTGTTCTTAGGGTTGTTGGATTTTTTTCTGCAAAGGAAAGCTTATAAACAAAGGTCAGTTTATAAATCATTTGAATGCAGGAGTGCTCAGAAATAGGGAAATGATGCTGTTTGTCAGATTCTCCCAACCACCTGTTTTCTCCCGGGCTCTTATTCCTGGGAATTCATCATATCAGGGTTAGTAAAGGCCATTATCTCCCACAGAATGTGTAGTATGTTACCAAGATTCATTTGAAACGTCTGGTTTCTCTTCAGTATATTCATTCATTTGCTAATTGCTGTAATATATCCAGAAGATATTTTAACCTAGTGAGCAGGTAAGAGAGGGTAGTTAAAAATCCAATATTCTAACAGGTATGAATTAGTCTTAACAGCTAAATATGAATGGAATTAGCATTTTTGAATAACATCTATTAAAAACACAAAAATAACTGGTAATCCGACTAACATAAATTGCTGCGCTATTTTATTTTTTAAGATTATGGCTTACTGTGTTTCATTTATAGAGTTCATTCTACAGTATAAAGTTGGGGCTTTATTTTAGCATTTTTGTGACTTGGTAATATTTGAATAAATTGCCATCTTGCTATACCATTTCTCTAATTTGGCAAACATTTTGAGAGAACGGTAAGATAATGTGATAATTTAAAATAGTTAATTACTATTGAGAACTTAATTGAATAGGTAGAAAAAGTTAGATTGACTTGTTGTTTTCCTTTAACAGAAGGATCAAAACCCAGCAGAGTGCAAGCAGCAGTGAAGCAGGATGTATGTGGCCTTGAGGATAACCTGCACTGTAATAGCCTAAACACAACTATTATTTACTTACAGCCTTATGTTTTTGTATTTTCTTGGTAGACTCAGATTTTTTTTAAGGGAAGGGAACGAATATTTTAAAGACCAATTTGTTCTACTTAGCATTTTAACTAGTTTTTCTGCCAGATATATTGAATGCACAAATTCTCACGCATGTTTGTTCATCACTACATAGTTTGGTTCTTCTCGGAGTATTTTTATCCTGTAGCTATTAAATTCCAGCTATGAAAATGAACAGAACTGTGAAATGAAACTGAGTTTTTGTTTTGCTAAATTTTTCTCTGAAGAACCAAAGTATTTTTTCAGCTGGTAGTTGAATGGGTTTAAGTTGGCTTGCACTAGCTGTGCCTTTCATTATAATACGGTGACTTATACCAAGACAATTCATCATTTAAAAAACAGAACTTGTCAAGACAAGTATATGGTTAAGAATTTCCAGTAAGACCATACCTGATAACTTAGATTGTTACTGGATTTTTGTATTGTAGGTGACATAGTTACTATAAAGAAACCTTATCAACTCATAGGTGGTTATTGTTTACCACAGGGAGGTGAATAAAACCTAGTATTTTCAGATATTAAACCTCATTATTTTAACTGTAGTTCAAAATTTAACCTCCATTAACAGCATCTTTTCTTTGTGGTAGGGTCTACCTTCTGCTTCCGTGGAAAGGATGAATTTACATCATTTGACAAGCCTATTTCAAGTTTTTTTGTTGTTTGTTTGTTTGCTTGTTTTTGTTTTTGCAGCCTAAAATAAAAATGTCAAATATAATTTTAGTTCTCACAAGAAAATGTCTTAATTTTGTACTAATGCAGGTAGAAGCAGAGGCCTAGCTTTGAAGTAAGTGATGTACCTCGTTTACCTTTTAATTGAAGGAAAAGGGTGTCAGCTTTTGGAAGAGGTACTTCATCTACTAATAAGAACGTGTGAAAAAAAGGCAATTCATAAATGATTTAATGTTTTTAATAGAAAGATTAAAGGATTAAATTTCATTTCTTTTGGTTAGAACTAGGGAGAAGGTTCAGAGCCGCTCCAGTTAATTCCAATTCTTATCGCGTAGAGTCTGAGCATGTCATTTACCCACGCCTTTCGTTTTACTGTATATTAAAATGGGTAGTACTGTTACTTAACTACCTCACAAATGTGTTAAGGCATATTAAGTTAAATTTTATGAAATGTTTCTTAGTCTCATTAAAAGCTCAAAAATTTGGACCTGTTTGTACCACAAGTATAGGATATTCGTCATTTTATTTATACCGAGTTTTGGTAATTAAACTGGAAAACAAAGGCTAAGTACCTTTATTCTGGATCTGATCAGGCAACCCTTGCAGATCTTTGTGTGGCTCCTGTTTCAGTAGAAGTGCATGGGTGAGCAACTGTTTCAGTGAGATTTTTTTTCAGCCATTTTAATTATGACCACATTGTAGTATACTGTAGACATCATGGGTCTAAAGTAGTATAAGACCATTTTTAGAGGGAAAAATACCATTCAGTTAGAGACTGCAGGGCCACATTTAAAATACCTCAGGCTAATTACTGTTACTTTTGGGGATGAACTTAGAAGAAGCTTTTAACAGTGAGGGTGGACTAATTGGATTGTAATTACAGGGAGACCTAGAGTTCCTGCTCTTAATAAAAATACATTGGGTTCAATTTTTAATGGTGATAGAGCTTCTGTTTTAAAAATTTAGTATCAGGGTCTCAGAATATAAACACATTTTGTTATTTGTGTAGTATTGTCCATTCTGTCCATTCCTTTTCTGAGATTTTAATTAACTACTGGAAATCCTTAACCAGTTGCAATAGTTTGTAGGGAACAAATGCCATGAAAACACTTTATGTTTTTCCCTTTTATTTTCGTAATGATTTTGGTTGTTTGGATAAGTCATTCTGTGCTGATTTTTTTTTTTTCTTATACCTACCTATAGCTCATCTGAACACAGCTTTTTCTGAACTTAAAAAATTTTAAAGATAGAATCCCATTTTTAATGAACTTAAAGAAGTAGCAAAATCACTACTTTTTTTTCATTCCTTTAGAAAATAGCTATTGCCAAAGTGAAGAGGTAGATACTATTTCGTCTTGTTACATAAGGTGGGATGTGGCTTGCAGCGGAATTGTTTTCTTAATAAAGTTGGAGTTTCAAGGGATATCAGTGTTCACTTATGCCATCTCTCCAGTTCCAAAGTGGTTCTCCATTCTAGAAATTGGAAATATGTAATTTGAAATCCTTAATAAAATTTGCATTTAATTTTATAAAATGTACTGGTGATATTTTGGGTGTTATTTTAAAAAGAATATGAGTTTATACTTTTTTTTGGAAGAGTGGAGAGTAGAGATGTTTTGAGTAGGTTATTCTGTGCTTAGGCCACGATGGCCTATAAATTTGTGTAATTTTAAGAGCAGCTTTCCAAGCCCTGCGTAAATGGAGTTTCTTACTGGAAGACTAGAAAGGAAGGAATTCCAGTTTTACAGATTATCCTGAGTTAACTACAGGTGTTTTAGAGACTCTTCGGTTTGTCTTTATGTTTTCAGTTTGTAGTTTTCTCTAGTCTAGGGAGTGACTGACCAAGTTCTTTTTTTTCTCTGGAAAGGGTAAAATCCCATGTGATCACCTATAAAGTAGAATTTTTTCTACCTTTTTATGGTAGAAATATGGTAATAAGTAAGCAGGTAACAGCAGTTTGTAAATTGATTGGGTTTAGTTTACCACGGATCTCTGAAAGTTACTTTATCTAGTTCACTGAAGCAGTATTAGTATTTATGTGATATAAAAATGTCTTGATTGTGTGGAATTGGCTTACAGAACAGTACTTAAGAAAAAAATGGGATTCTACCTCTGTTTCCTTTTAAACTCATTTAATAACAACGCATAAACCTTAAAAGGAGACATTAGCTTTGACAAAAATATTTAATTATTCTGTGAACCGGTTAATTCTGTGAAAGGTTAATGGTATTAACTGGTGTATGACAAAGCCCTTAAGATAACTGATTTAACCGTTTATAATACTGCTGCTTGTAAGACAGTATGAATTTGTGGGTTATCTGAGTTGTAGGCCATTCCCATTATTGCAAATATAAATAAAACTTTGAATTATTTGTGAAAACCTCATCATACCATGCAGAAATATCAAACTATTTAATATTCAAATATTCTTTGAATGCTTGGTTTTAGGGCTTGATTTAGAATGAGTCCATTTTTATGGGTTAGTCTTATAAAAATTTTAGCCTTTATATTTTTCACTGTTTAAATCAAGTTGAATGTTATTTTAAATGTACAGAATTAATGGGTAGTTCAGAAGAAGCATATGTTCTTTATAGGAACCTTAGAAAGGAGAAATCATATGCTAATGTAGTTTTTAATCTTCTGCACTGTATATATACTTGGTAATTGTTAACTGGATTTTATTTTGAAAATATGTGTTTAAATCTAGGTAATTTGCTACTTAAAGCACTAAGTCTAATAGCTGAAAAATAAATGTAAATGATACTAGTGAAATTAACTGAGATTAACTTATAGATATATAGTGATGATTTTGTATACTGGCTTAAAAATCCAGATATTAAAAAGTATAACTTCAATAAAAAGCCAAGTTCTTGGACTGATTAAGGATCATTTAACTGACTTCAGAGAAATGGCAATGTTTTTGTTAGAGTGTGGAATTACTTTATTAAGGATAAATGTTTATCCATGAGAAAACTTAATTGATGTATTCAGTTAATATTTTCAAAAAGTACGATATACTCTGTATCTTGTGTTTCTTCTTTTGACATACTGTACTTTTAGGTTTTTCAGTTTAAAAAAGTCATGGTATCAATTTTCTGAAGTATAAAGTAAATGAGAAATGCAGCATCACAATTTAGTTATAATAAATTGCTAGCAGGAAATAAGTTAATCCAATCGTTTAATTTTCATATTAGAAATTGAGAGTTTGTAGCTTTTGTGGATGGCTGAATTATTTTGAGTTTTACTTTGAAACTCAGGATAAAATGTTACTTAAAAGCAGTACTTTTTAGTTCTCCACATATTTAAACTTAAAAGACAAGAAGCAACTGGGGATAAGTGATGATAAATGCAAGTGCCAGAAGTTGACAGATCTCATATCAAGAGTTAATGGTGTCAGTATTCATAATTTTTTTCATTTACAATGAAGTTAGGCAGTTGTGGCTCTGATAGACTCTCATGGAGTGGTAAAAGTTTTGGCCAGAATAGTCATAACGTGTATGGGAGCCGTAGGCCGGGGATTTCAACGAAGAGTAGGAATTTTTGTAGAGAGGGATGGAGCCTCTGAGCAGAGAGCAGTTCAGGTAAAGGTAGGGTACTAGAGGAAACACCCCTCAAAGTTCCTAAAGTAGGACAATCCAGGGCACATTCAAGGCAGTGGAAGAACAGGAGACACAAGGGGCCAAGCCACGGAGGCTTAGCTATAGAGGTCCTATCAAAGGGGTTAAAGCACTGAAAAACAGCTGTGTAGAGTATTTCAAGTGACGATGGCCTTTCTATGAAGATAATTTTAAAGAAAGACATGATAGACCAAAGCCAGCCATTTTGTAGGTAAAACATTTGGGGCTGGTTACAGGCTAGGTCTAAAGTAGGGTAGCCTGTAAAAGTAAGCGGTGAATTAAAAAAAAAAAAGGATTCTTTGTTACCTTTAATGAAACCTCTTAAAGTCATATTTCAGGGCTTTTTTTTTGGAGAGGCAAGGATCTTTAATCAATACTGCAACTTTAAATAACTCTAAAAATAGTTTAAAAAGGAATAGCTGTATATTCACTTAAATTACCATTTGATTTTGCTACGTAATTCTATGCTCACGCATATGTTCTTTTTCTAAACTAATTGACAGAATTGAAGACGTGCCTTTTTACCCTCTAAATGCTGTGTTTTCTCAACGTGAAGACATTTCTTACAGAATGACAGTACACTTAATCAAAATCAGGAAATTTTTCTATTCAGTCAGTTCATTCTGATCCTTAAATCATCACAGAATTGATCCATAGTATCCTTTCAAAGCTGGCTTCTATGTGCTTTTGATGTGTCCTGCATCATTTGAGCACTTGCATACGTTACGAATCAAAAGGTTTTCTGGGCTCATCTTAGGCTTTTTTGTCCCATTCCTGAAACTGGCTATTTTCTCCAAGCGTCCCTGGTCTCCTTTAATGGGGGTGGTCCTTAGAAGCCAAGTCTAGGTTCCTGGGATGTTCTTGTTTCTAGGACTTTCCAGGTGACAGACTTAGGAAATGAATTCAAAACTGAATACACGTTGAATGCTTCAAATTTAATCCAGCATAAGAGGGTTTTTTGCCAGCCTCACCCCAGTCCATGTTTGTAACTGTCTTCAGACAGGTGGGGTTAGTAGTAGCTGATCCAAATGGGACTTGTAGGTGAGGTTGCTCTATAGGAATAAGAAACCATGATTAAAAGTGGAAAATATTTTAGACTAAAAACCTTGTAGCCCTAAATAAAATGACCTTACCTATCACTTTTAATGAATATGGGAATAAAGTAGTTGATAATGGTTAAACGTAAGCTTTGGAGTTCATCTACCACTTGTTCATTCAGTCTCATGTTTTTGATGGCTTGTGATAAATGTGAACACTAATGAAGAGGACACTAGTAGTTCCTGGAATAGTTAGAGCGTACTTAGAACCTGATACATAATGAGTGTTCAGTGTATGTGCTTCCTAAACATAAGAAAACCTAGAGTTTGTGGTTGGACTCAACCTTTTAAATTGACTTTGGCAGTTAATTTCAGAATTAGTTGGGGCTTTTCATTGTGTTTTTGTTGTTGGTTTAAGAGGCAAAATGGCTCGTGGCTAGGAGATGCTCCCAGGTTGGTGGACAAAAGACCCCTGAGAGTAAGACCTGATAATGAATATAGACTGTGCCCCCATTTTGAAGGATTCTGATCTTTATTGTAAAAGGGTAAGAAAAGTAGAAGAAAATATTTATTGACCTTACCTAAAGTCAGTTTAAAAAAAATCTTACTCATTAAACAAACAAACAAACCCCAAAACGCTGATTTCTTTTGCTAAATCCAGAAACCATCCAGGGTAAAACAGTGAGGTTTGACTGTATTTGGTTATCTCAGTTGTCATTACTCAGCCTATCCCTCTCCATCCCTAAACATTTATTTACCCATTTCCATGGACTCTGGGTGGACAATGGGCCATGTATCAGTATTGAGATGAGAAGTGATTTTAGACTTGAATTAGGCCAATTTCAACAAGAGGCTAGTTGTCTTTGCTTTTCATTTGGCTTGGTGGGTGGACCCGCAGAGCAGCTTGGACATCAACACCCTAGCCTGTCTAACCTGCGTTTATACTGTTTCAGCTCTGCTTGGCTACCTTTTCTTTCACTTCCTTCCTGTCGGGATCTTTTGTGCACTTACTAGTTCAACACAGAATCTTTTCCATTGAGTTAACGCTTGCTTTTTTGGTTCTTCAGTTCTGAACTGGTTTTGCCGGTTCAGGAAGTATTCCAGGAGTGCGTGTCCACTATTGGATTTCTTAATTTCCAGTGCTCAGCCAGGAAGATTGTAGGTGTACAGCAAGTTTTTGTACAACAAATGTGTAGATCAATTAGGGTTTATCTGGACTCCTTCCAGTTTACCAGCCATAATAGTGTATGGGGCCATGTAAGTGATTGATTCTCATTAGTCCAGTCTCATTAGTCAGCCAAGGTGCTCCAAGATCCTTTGTAGTTGTCACATTTCTATATACTGGGGTGTTTATATTGAGAAAACCAATAAAACAATAAAGCTAGGGTGTTTATATTCTGTAAACTCAGTGGGACTAAGAACGTGGAGAGTTGTATCAGTGGTTGGTGCAGTTACCTAGTACTGCCTAACAAAACCACTCCCTAAACTTAAAACCGACAAGATTTATTTTGCTGACTGCTTGGGCAGTTCATTTCTGCTCTACTGGGCATCATTAGGGGCAGCCCTGAAGGATTAGGGACTAGAATCATCTGAAGTTTCTTCATGCACAAGTGGTCTATGTGGATGAGACCAGCTGGGATGTGGCCAGAACTCTACCTAGGCTTTGCTTCACAGTATGGTGGCTGGGTTCCAAGAGTTAGGCAGAAATTTTATCCTTTTTATGACCTATCTCTACTGGCTACAGAGTCAACCCACCCAGATTTAATGGAAGAGGGCTCTATATATCTTGCCAAAGGAATGATAAGATTTGGGGTAAGTGAGGAACTATTGTTGGAAAAGGACAGTTGGCTACAACAGTTTCCCAAAATGTACTGAAACATCAAGGAAGCTTAAATTATATATTGTATGCCTGTTTGTGGAAAAGGAATGTTTTACTTTATCATACTGGAATCTTTTATTATTTGAATTTATCTGGACAGTTGAGGTTACCAAATGTACACATTCTGAACCATAAAAATGTCAAGCTTGATTAATAAAGGAAACATGGTAAGTATAAGATGACCATTAAGTACATATTTCTTTTCAAAGACAGTGTATAATAATACATTTAGGGGTTCAGAGAAAAGCCTCATTGCTGTACTGTTTGTATTATAAACTAGGACTTTGCTCTTTTGCATTATAAATCTAAATCGGCATTTTTAAAAAACCAAATGAATATTTAACCATTCAAGATAGTAGAAATAATGCTTTATTTAATCTTCATACTTGTTTGAGGATGATAATTATTCCTTCTCTATATGTAAGGATAGAAGTTAATAAGGCCACACAGTATATGTCCTCTTTTTTGGCCTCTGCCTGTGCTCCCACCTGCTCTGAGAGCTTCGTCCTCTGTTTTGCTGTCCTTGGCATATGGTTTCCAATTTTAGAGTTCCCTTTTTGTCTGAAATGGCTGCAGCCACTCTTACCCATCTTATCCAGGTTTTAGGCAGCAGGTGGGGCTGAAGGAGTTAGAAGACTCCCGGCATCCAGCCGTCTTTAGAGAAGAGACTGTGGTTTATGCTTCCTGCATCAAAGGGAGGCTGGAAAATGTAGTAGACGTGCACATCTGGAGCTGAAGCTGAGTTTGTTAGGAGTTAGGAGAACAGCGGTTGGGATGACAGCAACAGTGCCGTGTGTGCTGAACAGCTTTGGGTTTAGAAAAGGATGGAGGATGTACTGGAACACGTGAGGCAAATAGCTGCATTTCAGAAATAAGTAAACCGGTTCCAGAAAGGTAATTTAGGGATACAGCCCTGAGGATGAGTAATGCCTGGAGTCTTTCTTATCCATCATCCAGGGCTCATTGCTTCATTTTACATATCTTTCCCAGAACCCCTGCATACACAAGTGAGGTTGAGACAGTGTCTTCAGCAAAAGTGTAAGTGGACTTTTATTGGAAACAAGAACTGTTAGTTCTAGTTTCTGACCTGTTAAAGGATGCTCGTTGTTAAATAGTTTGTGGTAATGGATTGTGTGGTGATTTTGTTGACTCCGTGGGATTTACTTTTCTTGATAGGCTTCGTGGCAACGTAGAAGCTTGCCATAAAAAGATTTCCTGGGTTCTGCCTTTGGTAAAAAGTATTCCTCTGTCTTTCTGGGCCTGCCTACCTCACAGAATTCTTTTATTCCACCTTTTTTTTGCTCTTGGGTTCTCTCT